AAACAAAACCAAATTAAACCCTGCGGCTCGTGACGATACATTGATGTGTAAAGACACGAAACGATCGGTCTGTGCAAGAAACTGAACAGTATTTATATCGTTTTTTACCTCTGATTCACCGCAATGTCCGAACTGTCCTGAGTGCGTTCTCAACAGCCGGGGCATGACGCGTCTTCTTCTTCTTGCTTTATGGCAGATCACAGACATATAAGTGCATTACCGCCACCTATCTCTCAAATGGACCATTGACACTGTATCTACAATCTCAATTAGGAGTTTTATGTCTTGCATATCACAGTTTTAGGTGAAGGTGGGTGATGGCATTGGCACTGCTTAGACATTTTCCTACTGGGAGACAAAAACATTGCATCATTAACTCTAACAAATGAACAACAAATGTCCTCTGACTGAGTGCGATGGATGCATGAATCAAAACTGATTATTTTTGTGGTCATGTGTTTTTGTTCATTTATTCTTATTGATTTAGCTGCTGTTGTATATTTCTGATGTCTGTTTTGCTGATGGTGTTTGTACAGGTGTTCAGCATGTTTTTGGAAACACTGGTGGACTTCATTGCAGTTCATAAGGAGGATCTACAGGACTGGCTCTTTGTACTGCTCACACAACTGCTGAAGAAAATGGGAGCGGATCTGCTCGGCTCAGTACAAGCCAAAGTACAGAAAGCCCTAGACGTCACAAGGTATGTTATATGCAGGGTTCGTACGCTCATGAAAAACCTAGAAAAGTCATTGAATTTTAAAACCGCAATTTCCAGGCCTGGAAAAGTTTTGGGAAAGTCATGGAAATCTATTTCACAAATCTCTGTATAATAGAATTATGTTTAATCAGGTCCTGAATTTTGGTGCGGGATTGTGCATAGGCTATATCGCATAGTTTTACTCATTCCCGCAGCTTTCAACTTTAAAATGATGGATATTCACACATTTATTCAATAGCATGTAGGTTTGATGAGTAAATAAATCCACACAGAAGATCAGATCAGATCAGCAGGGCTCTCAAATCTCACGCATTCACCGTGAGACACACGCATTTCAACCCGCTCTCACGCCGAGAAATAAGGGATATCTTGTCCTGCTATAATTAATGGACGGATCCAGAGGGAAGCTCTGCCGAGTTCATAGCTGTCTCAGTCTCGAGTTATACAGAGTTAAAGGACACCTACCAGCCAATCAGAAATTAGAATGTTGATGTTCCCGCGTAAATTACGTGATCCCGCTGCAAGCGCGCTCGTTACTAAGCAACATGGATGCGCGCACACACACGGAGTGTAAAGCTGCGGTCACACTAGACTTTGATGCAGTCAAAAACTCTCCAACTGCTTTGCAACCAAAAGCTTTAACTTAGCTTTGGCTACCAGAAACTAAGGAAAGTACTACCGATATTATAACAATGGGTAAATCTGATTAAAGTCAGACAAATTCATCCAAATAAAACAAAGTGTTTTATATATATATTTTTTTTTAAAGTATCAAAAATAAAAAGAAATTTGGTCCCAAATGAGCCAACTGAACATCAGTGCTCAGTGTACATACTGTACACATACAGTAGGATTGCAGAGCTTGCCCTGAGCATGTCAAGCTGTGTGTGTGTGAGAGAGAGAGAGTGAGTACACATTAATGTGTGGCGCAGTTGCAGCTTATTACTTATTACTAAAACAAGAAAGCAAACCATAGCATTAATAGTCAATAATTTTATTAACATATGCTATGATAATTTGAACAGATTTTTATTCTTACTGTAAAATAATGGAACATTAGGTCATGAATATTTTCTCAAAAGTCATGGAAAAGTCATGGAAATTTATTGGTAAAAATGTGTAATAACACTGTATATGGAAAAACTGGAATCCATTATTTCTGTCATGCTCTGATACGAAGTGTCCACAGATTTTGAGAATGCTTGAGAATAGTTTATTCATTTCTTGTGTTTTTCTTCAGAGAATCTTTCCCGAATGATCTACAGTTCACTATCCTAATGAGATTCACAGTTGACCAAACACAGACACCCAACTTAAAGGTAAGTGCTTTTTTGGAGACACTTTATCTTCTCACACTGTGTGGATGAGCAACTAGGCTTGATAGTGTCGTGCTGGTATCAGAGAATGTAAATTAACATGGATTGCGGCTGCCAGGTCTTGCTTAAGAGCTTGTTTTGGAGTTTCTACAGGATGTCATGCACTGGGTCAGTGTTCTCAGGTTGTTGTTATCCCTCCATAAAATCTCATGCAAGCCACAAGGACTTTGCCTTGCATAAGAATCTTCAACCTCTACCTTACAGTGTTTCCTGCACCTCAGCTGAATCTGAAGAGCCACTGTTTTAGTTGTTGCATTGCTAATGCATTGTCAAATTTGTGAATGAATAGATCAATTGATACCATTTTACAATACAAAATACACTTGTTTTTTATTGATAGGGTGCCAGTGTATTTTTTGCATTATTTATATAGTATTATAGTATTTATTAATATTTTGAATTGGCTTTTAGTTTTATATTTTCTACATTTTTTAATGTGCCATTTTTATATTTTTTATATAGCTTCATTTTATTTTTATTTCAGTTTTAGTTTTAATGCTTAAACTAACTTATTTAATGCATAAAGTAACTTAGTTTCAATTTAGTTGGTAAGGGAACAGTTTTTTTTTTATTTGTTTTTTTTTTGTACTATTTTTGTATTTATTAATATTTTGAATTGGCTTTTATTTTTTATCTTTAGTTTGTCATTGGCATGCATTTCATGAATTCATTTTTCTTGATATTCTTCTATTTTGTTTTATTGTTTTTTTAGTTTTAGTAACTTCAGTGCTTCAACTTACTCTTATTTATTTCAGTTAGATTACACAAGGAATCTTTTTAACATTTCATTTAGGTTTTTAGGTTTTTGTTTTTCATCCAATATTTTATTTTATTTTTAGAATTCCCTGATTTTTAATAGTTTTAGTTCAAAATTACAACACTGTAGGTTGCTGAATTTACAATGTTAGATGACAGCAAAGGTAGTCTAAATGTAAAATTAAAGCAAATCAACATGAACAATTAAATATCCAGTGTTGGCCAATATTAATAAAAAAAAATAAAAAAAAGAGAAAATCGTCCAAAAGACAAAATTACACATATTCAGAGTTTAATTAAAACTGTATTGTAATATACAAAATACCATGAAAAATATTATTTAGCAACATTTGCGTTGTTGTCGTCTTCGGCTGCAACAATAAAATTCCTTATGAAACACTGTCCTACACCAATCCCATAACCAAATTTGCCATGTCCACACACGCAAAGACCCAATAAGAACAAATAAGATCAGTGGCGTATAGCGTCTGGTTATGCAGGGTATGCAGGTGCATATGGGCCCGGGCAGTTTGAGGGCAGTTTGTCCAACAGCTTTATGAGAATTTGCGGCCCGAGTCCGACTGGATACCGTGACTTTTCTCTCTCTCTCTCTTCCCCATTACACAGCTATTAAAATAGTTCAGTTTTGTT